CTTTCGGGGGAGTGCGAGTGGTGCCACGACGATCGAGGTTTGTGCGACATGCCTCAACTGGACGATGATCGACGCTTCAGCATTAAGCTCGAGGAGACCTTTAATGTTGAAACGGTACGCAACGACGACAAGTGTTTTTTTCGTAATTAAGCATGACTTCAACTATTTCAACGTGTAATTTTCATCTTTTACAATTTGAGTATAGCTTATCCCATGTCATGCAAGACGCTATGTCTTGAAGAGGATGGATTTTGAAGACCATGAAAATTTTGAAACGAAGAAAATTCACCTAAGGACCCATCATGATGTGGATTTTGAAGTAAATCTGTATAATGCTGAGAGCATAACCCATTTTGGTTGCAAAAATTGGGAAGCATTTTGCAAGATGTATGGTTTTGATGAGGGTATGCTTGTCACCATGGATCTTGGTGATCCTGAAATCGAGCAAGACAATATGGACATTTGGGTCCTTGTTGATACGCCTCCAGTTCTACCGCTATGTAAGTTTCTTAAACATAGTTAATTACTAGCTAATTTATATTGTTTATTTCAAAATAGTTGACAGCTTATTTTGATTGTTCAAACAATGTGCGGAACATGGTAGACAAAACCCACTACACCGATGGCTCCGAGTTAACTTATCATGAGAAAAATCATCTGGTCTGATTTTTTACTGATCTTGAGAATTACAATATCTACAATCAAACTCCTCAACATTATGGTCAATACGTGCTACTAGTGCACGTGTTGAACTACGGTAACTACCATGGAGATACCCTGGTAAGATATTTTACTATTTACGACATCCGTGCATCTTTTGCACACTTCTAAAACTAGTACATCATTGCTAACTATGAAGTTATTACTATATTTTTCAACAGAGAATCCTAGAGAATTGTGTGCCTCATTTGATGTATCAGAATGGCAGCCTTCGTGTTTTGAACATATATCCAGGTCATCCTACGAATCTCAACTGTCCATACCGGATTTCTCAAAGAAGTGGAGACATGCTAATCAATAAATGGAAAAAATATATGGACAGTCGTAAGGAGGTTCTTGGAAGCAAAAGGAAGCGAAGCGCAAGAATTGGAGACAAGATGATCTCCATTCTCTCCATAATGGAGAGTCAGGGTCTATATTGTTTTATGCTATTTTACCTTAAAGAGGGTATTTAGGTCCTACCTAATACTGATGATCATGTGCTAAGAACAAAGTAGGGTTGATTTGATGACTATTAGGATGATGATCGTATGACTTGTTATTAATAACGAGTAGAAGTTGTATGATGATGATTAGTAGGACTTGTTATTATGATGATGTATGATGCGAGCATGAAGAGTTATTATATATCTGTGGATGAAATGAACATGGCTTGGATTGAAGTGAAGGCAACATGCATGTGGTGCATGTCGAAAGTAGTACAATCCAAACTTGATCAAGTTCGGATTAGTATTACTTTCGACATGCACCACATATTGCCTCACTTCAATCTAAGTCATGTTTAGGCATAGCAGTAGCAGTAGCACGGAGATAACAGAGGATACATCTCTCTATTAGCTACCTATACCAACCTAAATTAACCCCCAAAACCCCTAAACCACCTCCTTTAAAAAAACAGCCGCTAAAATTCTGGCGCGTGGAAGCTTATTGGTCCCGGTTGGTGCTACCAACCGGGACCAAAGGCCCTCCTGCCTGGGCTCGCCGGAGCAGCCACGTGGAGGCCCATCTGTCCCGGTTTGTATAAGAACTGGGACTAAAGGCCTAGAGCATTAATAACGACCCTTTAGTCCCGGTTCCCCAACCGGGACAAATGGGGCTTATGAACCGAGATAAATGGGCCTTTTCTACTAGTGTGACTAGAACTCATGCACCATTTTCATGCCCATGTAGCTGGGACGAGAGTTCACGGGCCCAGCCGGACGCACCATGACGTGCTGCTTCCGCAGCTCAAATTTTGATGACATGTTTCAGTTATCGTTTTGTCATCGAAATTTTAGAGATGTCTAAAAACATGGCAAATTTAGACATGGTACTTGAGTTAAACTTGCCATGTAAAATCTAAAAGGAAAAAAGTCATTTATATCTTGACTTAAACTTTCCATGTACTTGAGGTTTTCTCTTTTTTGTGTTCTTTTATTTAAAACATTTTATCTCTTGAATCATGCATTCAAATTTTGAACCATTTTCACCTTTATATTTCTCGCGTCGATATATTAGAAATTAGATCCTGTGTTAATATGTTTTAAAGAACCTTTTTGACAAAAAACTAGGAAAAAAACAAATGCAAAAAAATCTGATGAAAAAGTAAAAAAAACAAAGCCTGTAAGCACATTTGTGGTGCTTCTTGTGGAAGCAAATACGTGCTTCCTTTGGAAGCATAATTTTCTTCAAAGAAACACAATTGTGCTTCTCACGGAAGCAAATTTGTGCCTCCACGAGAAGCAAATATGTTCATCTTGTGAAAGCACGCAATTTTTCCTTTCCAAGAAGTACAACTGTGTTTCTCATAAAAGTAAACATGTGCCTCCATAAGAAAGCACGTGTGCTTCTCGTGAAAGCACATTTTTTCGAGAAGCATAACATTGTTTCTCATGAAAGTAGATCCATGCATCTCACGGAAACATATCTTTGACCCCACGAGAAGCAAACATATCTCGTGGAAGCAATTTTTTTCTCCGGGAAGTATAGTTCTGCTTCTCATGAAAGCATATTTGTACTTCTCACGAAAGCACAAAAAAATCCCGCGGAAACAAATTGCGTAATTGTTTTTCTCCAAATCCTTGGGAAAACCATGCGAAAAATAGAAATCTGAATAAACCAAAAAACCCATCTAAAAACCCAAAAACGCCTGCAGATTTTTTTTTAAAATGAAATCCAGATGGAGCACCCAACATGCGCCATGTGGCGATGACCGAAAGCATCGCTTTGCATGCTCCTAGGCTATCAAAAGTGACCCCTTCAGTTAGTTGCTCTTTTTTTTAGGGATTCAGTTTTTTTTAATCTAAACATACTTGCTTTATTCAATCAATGTTCATAGGAATACAATCGATGTCTAGCAGGTTTATAAGCCACAGATGACGCCCGGGCCCCAGACCAAAAGCATGTTTAGCTAGGCTGTGTGCCTCTGCATTTGAATCTCGCCCTTCAAATACGAAGGAGCACTGCTGAAAATATGTAGCTGTCTCATTGATCTCCCTAACTATCGGTGCATACATTCCTCCCGTTTGGTTCTAAATATCTCGAACTACACCTTGGCAGTCAAATGCAATCACCACTCTAGTCAACTGGAGATTTGCTGCCAGCGCCAGGGCTTCACGGCATGCCAACCCCTCCAGAGTGGCGGGATCGATCATCCCGCTATACTTCATGCATGAGGCTTCCAAAAAAATTCCCTCTGAGTTTCTGCAAACAGCACCAAAAGATCCTTCATTTAAATCTCTATAGTAGTAACTGCACCGTCCACACCTTATTGGGCCGGCGATCTAGTGAAAGTGCTAGAGGTGAGACGGTGTTCTATCTCGCACTAGGCGAGATATAGCTCAGGCGGGTCGATGCCTGAGGAAGATGGTTTTTCGCTTTAGCCTGCAGCAAGTGTCCGGCCTGTGAGCGAGCCCAAACGCAAGGAGCTGGACGCCGGCCGCCGCGAGCTCTGCTTTCTTTCCCGCCGCCGGCTGCCACAGCACGAGGGCAAAGGCGGCTTCTTCGAATCTCCTGCGGCCACACCGGCTGCTGCCCGAACGCAGTCCGCCGCGCTGTTCCTGCCGGACTGGCCGTGTGGGGAACGGCGCCCATCTCCGGCGACGGCGCCATGTACAACCATGTTGCTGTTGCAGGTGAGCTCTTGAGGAACTGGAGCTTGCATCTCTGCTACAGGTGCGCTTCGATTTGATTGAATTTCCCCCCTCTTTCTGTCAGATTTCGAGTTCCTTATTCGATCATTTTACAGACGCAACTGGAGCTGTATCTTCATTCCAGATAGGGGAATAATATAACTGCAACTGTTCCAGGCTCCGTTTTACGACTTACTGTAAGTTGTTTGCAAGTGAAAATTTTAGCTAGTGATCATCAGATATGTAGCAGTCATTTTCACATCTTTAGCTAGTGATCACATCTCACTGGTGAACAAAATCGTGGTTGGCTATCGTTATCGTGAGTTAAGGTGGTAGGTAGTACACATTTCAGGCCACCAAAAAGTATATATATATGCCATGGATATTCCAAATTTGACATGTTAGTATGTTGTTGGCTGCTACACAATTCATTAATGTCTGTCTATGAGCGTCGACCTGTTAATTAGCCTGACGGCGGCTCCCATGTCCCGACCGCATCATCATCAGCATGGTACAAACAACTACCTGAGGAATAACAAAGTCTTGGCCACCCAAGAAACAAACCAACCACCTTGGAAGTAACACCCACCCGGTTGCTCGCTTCTTTGAACTTGAACAAATCGCCCGGCCTCTGAGCAAGAACACAAGAACAACACGGTCGGTTTCCTTGGCACACCAGGTCAGCAACCCACACATTTCTTTTCCGGTTCCGGGTCCTCTCTATCATTTAAAATTCTCGCCCAAACGAGAAATAGCATACTGCTAAACAATGGCATGCCGTCTCTTAATCACTTGCTTTCTTTTTTTGGGTGAGAATAATTAGTTGCTTTCTTTGGAATGCCATTCTTTAGAAGTAGTTCAATATTGCAATCTTATCTTATTCGATTTGCCAAACGTGCACGGCCTTCTTCGTACTAAATACAGGATATATTGCTGCTGCGAGGAATAGACAAGGTCAAGCAGATCTAGTATATATACGTAGTATGACAATGCTAACAACCACCCCTCACCTCTTCCCCCAACAACTCCTTCTCTATCTCTCTAGCCAATAATTGATTGTTTGGTTGGTTGGTGTTATCCTTTTCTGTTCCTCTTCTCCTCTTTCTCTATAGCTTTCAGATGGGAGGCACCTTTACGGCAGCAGCAGCGGCGGCGGCACTGGTTCTAGTCATGGCTGGCCTTTTTGGTGCTGCAACTGCCAATGTAAGATTCCAGCAAGAACTGTGATGAAATTAATCTACCCCTCATCAGGTCACCATGATTTTCTGCTAAAATTGAGCTTTGGGTTCGATTTGAATTCAGATAGGCGACAAGTGCTCGACGAGTGCGGACTGCGGCGCGGGGCAGTGGTGCTTCGACTGCGAGCCGGAGCTCGCCGGCTCCCACTGCGTCCGCTCCGCCGCCACCAACCCCTTCCAACTTGTTGTAAGAGCTTGCTTAATTCTTCCAGTTGTTTGTCTCTTCTTCTTCTTTTTTCCTGTGTCAGAGAAGGAACAAGAACAAATTTTGAGTTCCTGTATTCCTCTTTCCACAAATTCTTGATTGACCAGATCTGTTTCTGAAACAAACAGAATGTGGTTAATGAGATGGGCAGATTGTAGTTCACCTGACAGCAAAGATTCTCTTGTTCAGTCCATTCTGACAAAACGAGGGATTTTATTAGGATACTTCCATAATTATATTTATTATGTAACCCTGACAGCTGTATATTGGCATCACATTCTCAACATGCATAGAGATCTCAGTAAGATATGACAGGGCTTTATGGCCTAATTTTCTCTCAAAATCCAGTAAGTGTAATACTACTCCGTCCCATAATCTAAGACGTTTTTTTGACACTACATTATGGGACGGAGGGAGTACTTCTCAAAATACCCAGTTAGGATTACAGGACTTGTTTATACTCAGTACCCAAGAAAATCATGATGAAAATAGCTTCTATTCATAGTCCTAATGTTTTATCCTGAATTTGCTTTGCTTCTGGTTTGTTCTTCAGAATAACTCGTTGCCATTCAACAAGTATGCCTATCTCACGACACACAATTCATTCGCGATTGTTGGGGAACCGTCGCACACCGGAATTCCACGCATCACCTTCGACAACCAGGAGGATACAGTCACCGATCAGTTGAATGTAGCTTCTGCGTCATCTGATAAGATTCTTCTGTTGTTCTACATGTCCTACCTTACGAGCATTAATTCTCTTCACAATCCCAATGTTCTACAGAATGGTGTCCGCGCGCTAATGCTTGACACATATGACTTCAAAGGAGATGTATGGTTGTGCCATTCCAGTGGAGGCAAATGCAACGATTTTACTGCATTTGTGAGTACATACTACTGAATATGCCTGCCTCCCTCATCTCCATATAGAGTTCCAGAATGGTGTCTGTAAATAATATTATTACTTGATTGTAGGAACCAGCACTGGACACATTCAAGGAAATTGAGGCATTTCTTTCTGCCAACCCATCTGAAATCGTTACATTGATCCTGGAAGACTATGTTAACGCGCCAAATGGCCTGACGAACGTGTTCAATGCCTCTGGCCTGCAAAAGTACTGGTTTCCGGTTTCGAAAATGCCGCAGAATGGTCAGGACTGGCCTCTTGTCAGTGATATGGTCACAAGCAACCAGCGTCTCCTTGTGTTCACCTCTGCCAGATCGAAGCAAGTCACAGAAGGAATCGCATACCAGTGGAATTTCATGGTTGAGAACAATTGTGAGACACTACTTCTTTCGCACGAAACATTATGCTGCAGTTCCTCACTATCTCAAGTATCGTTGCTCTGAAATTGATTGATTTCACTGTGTTGAAGATGGCGACGATGGAATGGATGCTGGCGAATGCTCGAACCGTGCAGAGTCCGCGCCGCTCAACGACAAGACCAAGTCACTGGTCCTCATGAACTACTTTCCATCTGTCCCTGTGAAGCTGACTGCATGTTTGCAGCACAACAAGGGCCTCACTGACATGGCTAGTACATGCTACAGCGCAGCCGGAAATCGATGGGCTAATTTCATCGCAGTTGACTACTACAAGGTATATTAGTTATATGTATATATAAATCTTTAGGGTCAAATACTTGTGTGTTCCACGAGATGACAACTGCAGATATTAATCTCAAAAAGATAACATGAAGACTTCTAAAACCTATGAACTATGTTGTTACACAAATTCAGTGATGTTTGCGCATATTTTGTGAAATGAACTAAATTCAGAGAAGCGAGGGAGGGGGCGCATTCCAAGCCACCGATCTGCTCAACGGCATGCTCCTGTGTGGATGCCAGGACGTCAAGGCTTGCCAGGTGAGTGCTAAAGATATAATTGCTTCCGCCTTTGTTGTGCATATATGCCTCTTGTTGTCTTTGTTATGTGTATCATGACATGACCTTTTTTTTTGTGGTGCTGCCTTTTGTAGCAAGGATCTAGTGTAGTATGCTCTGCCTGAATCTGTGAAAACTAGGACATGTAGCAACTGCACATACATAGAACAAGGTATGTATGGCACCAGGATAGGACTTCTACTTTCTCTAGTTTTTGCGGGAACTTCTCAGGTGGTTTTGGCTGACGTTCACCTTTATGAAATTGCTGCAGCGGAGAACTGGAGATGCATAGCCTGATGATTTAGTCTCAAGATGAGACAAGACATACTCTTTTTTTTTGGGCTAGAAGAAAGGCATACTTAGGATCCAGATTTCCCAAATCCAAAAGTTGAAAATGACGGGTTTCGGCAATGGAAAAAAGGTGAAGATGTTGGATAGTGCATTACAACAGTGAACATGATTCATCGATATGCTCTACTCTCGGTCTCGGGAGACATTGTAGTTCTGCCTGGTGGAATGTTTGACATAGATGGATTACACATCAAGATATATTGCTATAAATGAATTATTAATGGTTTATTATTATGGCTATTTTTGAATCTATTTTTTGTCATACATTTACTGTGTTTTGCAAATTTGCTCACATTATTGGCTAATGCATGTGCATTGCATGGGACGGACGGCAAGTCATGTTTGTTTGCTCCATGGTAGCAAGTCAGTTTGTAAAAGTAGGCATAGTACTGTGGGCATTGGTCAAAGTAATACTCCCTCCTTTCCAAACTATAAGAGTTTTTGGATATTTCAATATGGACTGCATACATACAGACTAAAATGAGTAAACAAACATACTAAAACATGTCTATATACATCTAATTCAGAGAAAAGTTAGAACATCTTATATTTCAGAACGGAGGGAGTAACATCGAAGCAATTTGTAAGAAAAGAAAATCTCAAACAACCTGTCTCTTCAGATATTAATTCTGTGCAGTTGAAACATATGTCGGTGCATTGACTATGTCGTCGCTTAACTGCGGGTCTTTTCAAAAACAAAAAGGCAGTAGGATGATTAGTTAATCAAATTAAGTCTTGATGCTCACTCACAGCAAAAATATAAGTGAAATAGTCCTGTGAAAGGAAAGCAAATGAATCGGATACATGTAGGGTATCTTGATTAGACGAGACACGGCAAAGATCCCCTTCCTTGTTTGCTTGATCTATCTGCTATCTTTTGTACTGACAGTGAAATGACGGATTAGTTAAAACTATGACCCAAAGCAAAGTTTACCTTCATTTTTTGTTTCCTTTCGTTTTTATTCTGTCTTTTCTTTGGTTTTCTTACCTTTTTTTGTTTCTTTCTCCTACTTGATTTTCTTTGTTTCTTACTTTCTTTTCTTCAGTTTTTTAATACATGTCTACATTTTGTATATGCATATACACTGGGACTATTTTTTATATATGATTAATAATTTTTAAATACAATATAACCATTTTTTCAAATCGATGATTTTATGTCTATTTTTATCATACACATTGTGCATTTTTGTATACATCTACCACATCTTTATAAACATTTACATTTTAAATACATGACTAATATTTTTTAAATAAATTTTCTGAATATTTATTAAATAAATGTTTGTGTTATATATTTTAAATTGTATAAACATTTTTTAAGTGTCACAAACATTTTATTTGAAATGCATTAACACTTTCAAAATTTAATATATTTTTTGAATGGTAAGAAACATTTATTTTCAATTACAAGGACAGTTTCTTTTATAACATTTTTTAAAATTATGCGTACATTTGTTGGAAGGGTGTGAACATTTTTTGAATTGTCACATACTTTTTTGTTAATCATAATTTTATTAAAGTTGCACGAACATATTTTTAGCATTTCAGAAAAAATTAACATGGCGTAAATATTTTTACTCTTATTTATATCTAAATATAAATAACTTTATAAAAGAAAAAAGGACAAAATCAAGACAAACGAGCCATCTAAGTGAAGAGAACGATGCAACTACATTTATTGGGCGATGTAGACGACCTCGAGTTACAGGTCACAGATGGGCGCCCTCTCGCTTATAGTGAGACCATGGCAACACTCTGGATAAAACATTAGAAAAATATTAACCAAACATTTGGAAAAACTTAAATGTGTAAACGGAAAAGTTTTATCACGTATACAAAAAATGCAATGCGTATGAAGTTTTTTAATCATGTATTAAAAAAATGTTAATCAACAATTTGAAAAAAAAGTTGAACACAGATTTAAAAAATGTTAATTAAGTATTTGAAAAATGTTAATCAATCATATGAAAAATGTTAAATGTGTATACATAAATGTGGACCGTGTACTAGAATATAATGAAAATACTGATCATGTATATAAAAATGTTAATCATTATTTCGAAAAAATGTTAATCATGATTTCGAAAACATGTTTAAATTAAACATTTGAAAATGTTAAATGCGTATAATTTTATTTACCATATATTAAAAATGATGAAAACATTGATAAGGTATATGAAAATATTAATCAAACATTTGAAAAAATGTTGAACAACTATTTCAAAATGTTAATCAATTATTTAAAAAATGATAAATGTCTATATAAAATATGTTGACCATGTTTTACAAAAATAATGATTGTTTTATCTTTTATATGATAAATTTAAAAATGTTAAACTTCTAGAGAAAAATGTTGACCATGTATTAGAAAATTATCAACTTTATTAATCATGTATATGAAAATGTTAATCAAGCATTTGGAAAAAAATGTTAAACAATTATTTGATTTTTAATCTAACATTTGAAAAATGTTAATATTTTATACAAAAAATGTTGACCGGGTTCGAAAATTGTTAAATTGTATTTAAAAATATAAAATGTATAATAGAAAATTGTATTAGATATATAACAAAAATGTGTATAGAAAAACAATGAAAACCCAAGGTGAAACAAAAGGAAAACAGACAAAAAATGAGAAAGAACAAACAATGCCGAAGAAAAATAAAGAGAAAGGAAAGAAAAGAGAAAAGTTATTCAAACCTGAGAAAGATACAAAGAAAACCAAATAAAACAATGAAAAAGAAAGAAAAGAAAAAACTCGGTAAAAACAGAGAAAGAGAAGAAGAAAACCCGGTGAAACAAGAAAATAATTTTTTTTAAAAGAAACAAAAAGCATGTGGAAATCCGAGCCTACCCCTTTAGTTGTTCCAGTCCTAGTAGTATAACATGGACTAGTCGACCATTTAGTCGCTAGCAGCAGTACGCTACAAGCAGGAGGTCATAGGATCGAATCTCGTTCCGTCCCTTTTTCTCTACTCTATTCTCTTATGTGCGCTAATGAGCAGGCCCGTCATTGTAGACGCGAGACAAGCTATAAGACAGACATAGCTCTCGCATATACAAATGGGCCCGGAGCTCGGGACCTCCTAATCCCCCCGTGCGATGGAAAATGAGGTAACGCACACCCCACCGCTCCCCCCGTGCGTGAACTTGGGCAGCCTAGGTGCAGGGCAGGGCTATCCTTTTTGTCATGTGTTTTTTTACTACTTGACATTTTTTGAGATTCCAAAAAAAAATCTTTTGAATTTCTAAAAATTTTCACAAATACAAAACAACTAATGATCTAATGAAGAAATGAATGATAAGAGTTTTTCTTGAATTTTATGGACATTTTTGTATTTTCATGCACCAAATTTGAATTTTTATGATCGTTTTTTTGAAATTGATGAACACAATTTGAATTGAATAAAAAACTTTCGTTTTATGAAAAGTTTCCGAAATGGACAATCATGTTTTTTGAGTTTGATGAATATTTTTTGAACATGACGAACATTTTTTGGATTTCATAAACATTTTTGAATATGATGACCACTTTTTGAATTCGAAGAAAATATTTGAATTATTGAAAATTTTGAATTTGGTATACAACTATCGACCTACGCCGGGCAATAGGATTTCCGCAGGAGCTCCTATTCCCCTTGTTGCGCAGGGGAAATCGAGTAATCGCGCACCACCGCTCCCCCGTGCGAATGGTTTTTGCCGGCCCAACTGTGGAACGGGGCATCCCAAGTTTTTTTTCAACTTTGAAAAATATTCCTGAATGTGGAAAATAATCCTGAATTAAAAAAATTCTTCATGTATTACAAAAATTGTTCTTGAATTTGAAAAAATGTTCCGTGATTTTTTTAAATAAAGAATTTTAAATTTGTTTCGTATTTCAAAAATATTCACAAGACGGGAAGGGGGGGGGGGCATTGGCCCCCAGGCTTGGATCAAGTTGTGAATGATTTCTCTTTGGGCGAGATTAGATTTGATTCTTTTAACAACCAACGACGCTCGTATGACAGTGATACGTCTCCAACGTATTTATAATTTTTTATTGCTCCATGCTATATTATCTACTGTTTTGGACTATATTGGGCAGTATTTTCCACTTTTATATTATTTTTGGGACTAAACTATTAACCGGAGGCCCAGCCCAGAATTGCTGTTTTTTTGCCTATTTCAGTGTTTCGAAAAAACGGAATATCAAACGGAGTCCAAACGGAATGAAACCTTCGGAAACGTGATTTTCTCACCGAATATGACTCAAGAGACTTGGACCCTACGCCAAGGAAGCTTCGAGGGGGGCATGAGGTAGGGGGGCGCTCCCTACCCCTCCAGGCGCGCCCCCATCCTCATGGGCCCACCAAAGCTCCATCGACGTACTTCTTCCTCCTATATATACCTACGTACCCCCAAATGATCAGATACGGAGCCAAAAACCTAATTCCACCGCCGCAACTTTCTGTAACCACGAGATCCCATCTTGGGGCCTGTTCCGGAGCTCCGCCGAAGGGGGCATCCACCACGGAGGGCTTCTACATCATCATAGCCCCTCCGATGAAGTGTGAGTAGTTTAACTCAGACCTTCGGGTCCATAGTTATTAGCTAGATGGCTTCTTCTCTCTTTTTGGATCTCAATACAATGTTCTCCCCCTCTCTTGTGGAGATCTATTCGATGTAATCTTTTTTTTGCGGTGTGTTTGTTGAGACCGATGAATTGTGGGTTTATGATCAAGTCTATCTATGAATAATATTTGAATCTTTTCTGAATTCTTTTATGTATGAT